TGATTTAAGCGACTTTTTACGTGCCAGAAGAGTACCAGAAGCGTCCATTGCACTAATGGAAGAACAAAAGGTGAGTAAATCAAATGTTATAGTTCAGTGTCTAAAGCCGAACGGTTTAGCTAGCTGTTAGCATGTTTGTTAGCTTACGCGGTTAAAGGAATAAGCTGATTTACAATGTTAAATCACACGGATGAATAAAGGATATAACAGCTGTTAATTGCTGGAATTGTCTCTAAGTGTTTGGGATGTTTATTTTATTGTTCTTCTGTTTGAATGTTTACAATTAACTAAGGTTAGCTGTATATGTCAGCCACCTTCTAAATAAGATGTCTGCTGTGTTAAACTGCAACTTTTAGTTCAGTAGAGGACAGAAACTATAGTACAAAGTGACAAAATTTATAAACACAGCTAATCAATCCAGTCCTTCCTCTTTTTCAGTAAAATAGAGGACTGAACATTTACTGCTGCTATTATTGTCATTCTCCCAAACAGTAAATGGCTTTAAGCAGAAACGTAAGGATACAATCTTAAAGGTAACTTTGACGTTGATTTGCAGACTAAGTAATTGTCCTTTCTCATCTTTTTTCTGTGCAGATTGACTGTGATGCCGCAGCAAAGCTGAAAAATCACGGCGATGGATTTGCTGTTTTAAACTTCTACTAAATCAACAAACTGTCCAAGAGGAAAAAAGGCCTTCTGTTTAAGACTGTTCCCTTCTTAAAGTGAAAGAAGCTCGAAAATGTCAGATTTGGATGATATCATTAGGCTTTACTTCAGACTCTCTTTAAATAACAAAGAAATCCTTCAAATTTTAGCGCACAGTCATCATACTATATTAAGTAATCGAACTCTAAAAAGAATTTGCAGAAGACTGGGCTGTTTCGAAGAAAGAATCAGTCCGACCTTGAAGAAGTGCTAGCCTTTGTCCAACAACAAAAATGACTAATGGACAAATGCAAGGTTATCGGTGGCTACATCTTCGTGCGATTCAACATGGATTTGTGGTGTCACAAGACACTGTGAGACAATTAATCAAATTGTTTGACCCAGAAGGTGTGGAACTGAGACGAGCACGACGGTTGAGAAGACGTCAGTACAATTGCAGAGGACCAAATGCGCTCTGGCATATGGATGGCTACGATAAACTAAAACCTTATGGCATTGCTATCAGTGGCTGTATAGATGGTTTTAGCCGGCATGTTTTATGGATGGAGGCTTATACCAAGCAGATATTTCTGAGGCGAAACCACACAGACAGTTTTGCAGGGGACAAAAGTTTCCTTTACGGAAGAAGTACATCCAACCAGCGCATTGAAGGATGGTGGTCCACCCTCCGTAAACAGAGCGCACAGTTTTGGATGAACTTATTTCAAACCTTTCTGGATGATGGTCACTTTACAGGAGATTTTTTGGATAAAGCCTTATCCAATTCTGCTTTCTTAATCTTATTCAGGTAAAAGTATATATTGGTACACTGCAATGTTTTTTTTTTTTCAAAAAGGTATTAAAGCATATCTTCTGGTATGTTTACTAAAAATAAAAATGGTTTAAATTACTTGGGAACGTGTTCCCCTAAACTCCTTTGGTGTAGTTTTAAAAATAAGTTCTATCCGTAAATTACTAAGTTTTACCATACGTTGGGAATCATTTTATGTGCAGAATAAAATGTTTTGGAATTGCAATTTTGTTCTTGCTGCTTGGTTTTGATTAGAGGTCACTTTCTATGTATGCTGATTAATATATGCCTCATCTTTAGCAAAAGCTACAGTTACAATTTTAGTTTTAAACATTTATGGTTTGTTTTTATGCAGGATGACCTTGATGATGTTGTGAACACATGGAACTCACACAAAATCCGGGCAAGTGGGGGTGCAGTATCGGGCCGACCTGTGGTGATGTACTCATTTCCAGTGCTGCACAAAACTGACAGACTCAAACCTGTTTCTCTGGATGAGGTCACTGTGTGTATGGAAGAGTGTACACCAAAAGGTCCATATCCCTGTGATGAAACGTCTTTGAACTTTGTTGTCTGCTTATGGTAGAACACAACTTGGAGGCCCCAAGAGATCCACTTATTGCTGCTGATTTGTATATAAGGTTAAGAGAAGAAATTCTTCAAAGTATTTAGCAACTTTCAGTGTGCATAAAGATAATTTAAAAAGTGTTGCTATTTATCTCCATCAAGCCATTGGATAGTGTTTGCAATGTGATAGGTGCCCTCTAAACAGGGCTCCCTGCTCTACATCTAATTAAAGAATGAAAAGTGCAAGCAAACAGAACCTTTGACGTCATTTTACCAGAACATGAAAGTTTATTGCTGTCATTATTTATTTGTAGAGTTCTGATGACCTGACATTAATGTACAAGCTGTTACTGTTCTGATAATTAAAATTGCAGGTTGTTTGACATGATTTCCTAACCCATAGTTTGTTTCGCTTTCAGTCATTTGAAGGAACAATGCTGATGCAAAGTTATTCAATGATAATCAGTTATGAGCCAAATGTCAGTCCTTTTAAACGGGTATGCATTGTGATTCATATATATTTTTTTGTTTAAAACAAAATGCTGTTCTGTTAAAGATATTGTAAGTGTATGGTTGAGATGTGAACTAAATGGCAGAAGAGCAAAAAGGATGTCACAAATTGAACACATGGAAAACAATTGTGTGTGAAATAAAAATGAACTTCAATGTTTTGTTTACCAAGTCTTTTCATAATACAATTGATGTCAAATATTTAACAGTTGAAAAAAGTCATTTGTTTTTATCACTATCTGAAGTTAGATAAGACAGTGGTCAGACAGGAAAGTGAGCAATAAGAGAGGAAACTGATACTAAGGTCATCAGGCCATGACTCGGAACGTCTGATGTCCACATTCAGGACTGCGGTCTCCATACAGGACTTTTGCTTTTCCACCACAGCACCCCAACTGTTGTTTTAAATGTGTTAAAATTAACAAAATTGTATTTGCTAAATTCCAAAAAAACGTAACATTTCTTAGTTTTTATAACTATCTTCAAATTCAACAATTTCAATACTTTTGGTTATTAGACCTTTTCAAATAAAAGCCAAGCTTAGCTAACATATTGAAAACCATAACAGAAAAGTATTTGGTAAAGTAACATTTTATTAGCAAAACAAATAACATTTCTTTTGCTAATCCAAAAAAACCATGGTCATTAGAATGACCTAACTTTTAAAACAAACTTTCAGATTGAATATAACCTTGTATACAGCCGTAAATTAATATAAAACATTAAAGCTTTTGTTATCAAAAAACAACGTCATCTCAGATGCACAGATGGAATAAGTGCTAATTGATAAAATACACATACAAAAAATCTATCTTGTCGACAGGTGTTAGATCAATACCTTGTTTTTGAACATGACAAAATGGCATACATTTGTTCAAATAACCTCAGCTTTTCCATTGCATTGTTTTTATTTCTAACATTAGGAACAAGTGTTTTTCTTCAAAACATACTGAGAATCACACAGCTTGATTGATGACAGATTAACAGCACATATGCTTAGTGACAATAACATTTATAAAATTAAGGAAAATGTAGACGAATGTTTTCTATAACTTTAAATTGTATGTTTGTATTTAACAGCAAATACAAAACACTAACACTTCAATGCTCCTTAACAGATGCGTGGTTTGGAAAACATTTTGCGGACAAAAAGTTCAAAATAAACTGGCCGTATTTACAAGTTTCAAGTGTGGACACACTGTACAAGATTTTCTATATAAATCAATTTTTTTGTTGTATTCTACATCTATTGTAGACCCAATTATTAAATAACAAATGAATTTGAAAGTCTTACTTCTTATCTAAGGAAAGCTTAAAAGCAAGTTTTATTTTAATTTTATAGCTCTCTAACAATATTTTTATTGTTTCCATTTAAGGTTTCTATTCAGCAGTTGGAGATCTGAGATCAAGTCAAGATGCTTTTGGATGTAACAAACAGCTATTAATTTGTTTTGTGGCAACTTCTTGTATGATGTAAAACTAGTGAGAACAAAGGAAACTTGTATATTCTCAGTGAAAAACTGAGCTACCAATAGAAATGGCTAACTTCCATCAATTTCTTTTAAACAACAATAATTTCTCTCTGTTGAAAATACTTTTTCTTTATGTGTCTTTGTAGTTCTGCTGTACTGATTGAACATTTCAAAAGTAATGCATTGCACGATGAATCAAACAATGTCCATTACCCAGACATTGCTGTCAAGAACTGCATTGAATTCAGATCTAAAATCTGGGACGTTTTCATAGCTATCTGCTATTTGCAGAGTACTTCCACATGTGTGTCCGACTGGTCTCTTGTGAACTCTGTCATATCTTGAAATTCCACAAATATGCAGTTTGTCACAATGAGATCAGATCCAGTGCAAAATCTCATAAATTTCTGAAGCTTTATGTCATCCAGCTCTCTTATGAATCTTTTAAGATGACTCTGTACTTCCTTTTGCTTTGGAGTTAAATCTAGAGCAAATTTCAGCAGCTGACAGACTTTTTTGGAAGTTGGTTGCAGGTCTGAGAACAGCTTGGTCAGTGCTTCTGGGCTGAGGGACAGATGGGTAGATGATCTCCCTCCAGCAGTCAATGACGAACATCGATTTTTGGATGAGCTCTTTGTGAGCTATTTCATCAAGGATTGTAGGGAGACTTTCAGGAGTGATTATTTTCTACAGCCATAATTGTCAAGAACTTCCACAAGATCATCAAGGTCAACAGCAGAAAAATTCTTAACTGCCTCCCTCAAAACACATTCTTTGCTGCTCACAACTGTAGAAAATGTGCTTTAAGATCACTGTAAACATTATTGAAAAGCACTTGTTCAAGAAAAGGGATTGCAATTTTATTTGGAAAATACTGACAGTCTTGGTAACCTTTCAAAAGGATTCGTCCAACTGCCTTCCATTTCTCAGCTTGAAAGTCATGGCGGATGAATGGCACTTTCACTGTTGTACCAAGGGTGCATCGCTCATAAAATTCATTCCAGAAGCAAGTGAGTACATCTCTCAGTATTCCTGAGCCAGTGCCTGCTTCTTCGGTGTTGTCTGGAAGTATGCGCGTTACGTTCAGTTTCTTCATCAGAGAAAGCAGTAATAAGGTCATGTAAAGTGTCAGCATTGCGTACAGTGATCATTATTGCATCTTCTGGATTTGCTGGACTGGGGGGAACAACAAAACCCTCATAGATTAATGTGTCATCTGTATCTTCTTCAGCATCAAGAATGGGACCAAAAGTAATTTGGGAATCATCAAAAACTTCTGAACTCTGTTGGACTTCAACAGAGTTCCTCCTGACATCCACCACCTGTAATGGATTAAATTCGCTGCTACTGCTTTCCAAAACAAACACAACTTCAGATGCGTCACTGTTATCTTCTTCTGCATCTTTTGGTTTTGTTGCAATGTAGAAGCGCAACATTGACAGTCTCACTGCTTCATACATTTTCCCAATAGTTAGGCCGGTGTCTTCTGTAAGAAGGTTCTGTTTAAAGTCCCAAACCTCAAACTCAAAATCTGTTTCAGGTCCCTTAGGAGATGTTCCATCAGGAAAAAAAAGTGTCTTTCCTTCTTGAAGAATGTCTTTTAATCCAGAATCAGTGGCCATTTGAATTTTTCTAGTGCCACCTCCCTGCTTTGCTCTCACCTGTTTGGTAGTTTTTCCATCACTATGTATCCATCCAATCTCAACATTTTTTGTTCCTTTTGGCCTCTTTTTCTGTCTTGTACTTTCATGTGTCATGGTCTCGTGTGGACTTTCCTTTCTGTTCTTCATTTTGTCCCGAAGCTTTTGAAGAAGTCCTTGTTTTCTTTTGGACAATGGCTGTTTGCTTTTGCAGTAGTTGAAAACAGCAATTCTGTCTCCATATGAAGGTAAGAAGTTTTCAAGTGTTGCATCGTCCATGAGACCTACGGCATCACAGTCAATCTGCACAGAAAAGATGAGAAAGGACAATTACTTAGTCTGCAAATCAACGTCAAAGTTACCTTTAAGATTGTATCCTTACGTTTCTGCTTAAAGCCATTTACTGTTTGGGGAGAATGACATAATAGCAGCAGTAAATGTTCAGTCCTCTATTTTACTGAAAAAGAGGAAGGACTGGATTGATTAGCTGTGTTTATAAATGTTTGTCACTTTGTACTATAGTTTCTGTCCTCTACTGAACTAAAAGTTGCAGTTTAACACAGCAGACATCTTATTTAGAAGGTGGCTGACATATACAGCTAACCTTAGTTTAATTGTAAAACATTCAAACAGAAGAACAATAAAATAAACATCCCAAACACTTTAGAGACAATTCCAGCAATTAACAGCTGTTATATCCTTTATTCATCCGTGTGATTTAACATTGTAAATCAGCTTATTCCTTTAACCGCGTAAGCTAACAAACATGCTAACAGCTAGCTATAACCGTTCGGCTTTAGACACTGAACTATCCCATTTGATTTACTCACCTTTTGTTCTTCCATTAGTGCAGTGCTTCTCAATTATTTTCCGTTACGCCCCCCTAGCAAGAAGAAAACTATTCGCGCCCCCCAGTCCCCACCGTGACTATCCATCTCTGCATAACATTTTTTCCTTATTAACATTTCTTTCGCTGAAAAAACTCTAGCGGCTTATCGGCGTGATTGGGATGTAACGTATTTAAGTGACGCGCTAATTTATTTGGCTTCATGCTGTCCGCTGCGAGCATTTTTAGACACAGCAAACACACCGGTCTTTCCTCTTCTCCAACTGTAGTCACAGTGAAGCCAAGCGCTAAATACGCTTCGTCGTATTTCCTCTTCTTAGCTTTCGGTTGACTTTCTGTTGTCTCATTATCTTTGTTTCTCTCCGCTTTTCTTTTCATCCCTGTGAAAAACTTTTTCATGTTGGGGGTTGTTGAATAACGGAGGCCATAGACAGAACGCAGTCGGAGCTTTTTGTTGACTTAACACTGCTAACCAAGGCAAACCTGTTGTCTTGTAAGTCGTAAAATGTTGCACTGTCGCAAACGTGACAGAAGTAACAATGAGAGCGCCACTGCCGCCTACTGTGCGCAATTACACTTTATACTAGTTCGGCCAAAAAAAAGCCTGTTCCCCAGGATCACACGCGCCCCCCCAGGTATCGCACCGCGCCCCCCAAAGGGGGCCCGCCCCACTATTTGAGAAGCACTGCATTAGTGCAATGGACGCTTCTGGTACTCTTCTGGCACGTAAAAAGTCGCTTAAATCAGACATTTTCTCCAGAACATTGGCTGTCCGCCGTAACTCAACCTGCGTCTGTGTGGCTGCTGCTGGCGCCCATCAGTCCGAATTCTGACTTTTTTTTTTTTTCTGGCCCACAATTTTTTTTTATTTTTTTCTGTCACTGATTTTTTTTTTTTTTTTTTTCTGGCCCACAAATTTTTTTTTTCTGTCATAGATTTTTTTTTTTTTCTGCGGCACAATTTTTTTTTTTTTCTGGGCCACAAAAATTTTTTTTCTTCTTTTTTCTGAACCACTGAAAAAAAATTTTCGGACATTTTTTTTTTTTTTTTCCAGTGGCCCTAATCCTCTTCCGTAATTTTCCCTTTTGATTCTAAGAAATAAATTAATCTACTATTCACCATCTTCTCCATTAACTTTCCAATACAAGATGTTAAAGCTATTGGCCTATAACTCTCAATTAGCTGTGGGTCTTTACCTGGTTTACAAATAGGAATGATAATTGATTCTTTCCACTTATCCGGCAGAACTCCTTCTTCCCATATTTTATTATATAATTCTAATAATATCACCTTACTCTTTTCACTCAGATTTTTTAGCATAATATAATTAATCTGATCTTCCCCAATTTTTTGTGTTCTTTAATGCTTTATTTAATTCTATCATTGAAAATTTCATATTTATAGTATCATTATCCTCTCTATCCTCATGTATCCTTTCATTATACCTTTTTAGTGTCATTTCCCTTCCTTCTTTCTCTTTATTACTAAGATTTCCATTGCTATGTACTTTAGCTAAGACTTTTACTAACAATTCAGTCTTATCTTTATTATCAATAATCATATTGTCATTACTTTTAAGTATCGGAAAATCATGTTCTTTTGATTTTCCTGACATTTTCTTGATTGTGTCCCACACTCTGTCTAACGCAGTAGTTTTTCCTAACGATTCACAATACTTACTCCAATAACTCTTTTTGCATTTCTTATCTTCCTTCTAACTTCTGCTTGTTTTCTCTTATAGTTTATTAAGTTTTGGAAACAAATAGCTTTCTTAAGTGTTTTAAAAGCCTTATTCCTTAATTTAACCGCCATTGAACATTCTGGATTCCACCAAGGAACTATCTTCTTCTTCTTAAACCCTTTACTTTTTGGTATTACTTCTTTTGCCATATCAAAAATACTCTTACTGACTTCTAGATTTAAATCATTTATTGGTTTATTTATATCTATACTTATCAACCTATCTTCACTCATAACTTTATATTTTTCCCAATTAGTGTCCTCAAACCTCCATCTCCCTTGACTATTTACCTGTCCTTCTTCCATGTCTATTTCAACCTCAATAAATATTGGATAATGATCACTTCCTATTGTACTATTTTTATATATTTTCCAACTACAACAATCCGCCACACATGGGGATACCAGAGTAATATCAATAGCAGATTCCTTACCATTTATCACATCCAACCGAGTTTCTTCCCCATTATTTAACACTACCAATTCTTTTTCTTCAATAATTCCTTCTAAAATCCCCCCATTATAATCATCTTTCTCACCCCATAAAGTGCTATGTGCATTAAAGTCCCCACACCAAATTAATTTTTCTCCCAATGCCGAGAAATGTTTTCTATTTTTAATTTATCCATTTTCTTACAAGGGTTATAATAATTTTTAATTTTTATACTTCCATGCTTTGTCCACACTTTAACCCCATTAATCTCCAGTTCCGTGTTTAATTATAATTTGATAAATTTGATTTTTTCTTTTATAAATATGGCACATCCTCCTCCATTTCCATTTCCTCTATCTCTCCGTACAATTGAATATCCATTAATGTTAAACTGTAACGTTGGTTTCAACCAAGTTTCTTGGATACATATTATATATGGTTTCTCATTCAATCTATTAATAAAACCTTTAAACTCCTGACCATTAGCTATTAGACTTCTAGCATTCCATTGCAATATTAGAATTATATAACTATTTGATTTGCCTCACTTTCTCCTGACCCCTCTCCTTGTCTAAGCTCATCTTGAATTCTCTCCCATGACAGATCTTTAACACTAAAGAATCTTGCTGCTGCTTTTACTATAATTTTTATTTTTTCAGTCTTAGTTCTCGCCTGTTCGGAACAGTTTATAATATAAGCCAGAAACGGGATCAGTTTTTCTACCGTGATAATGTTTTGATTTTTATCTGCCTCATTCTTCTTTTCTACTTTTGCTCTCTGACTAATCCCTGTACTTTTCACCTCCTTTACTGTTCCGCATAAGACATTCTCTTCTCTGTTTTCAGTTTTTGAATTTCCGTCGCTTCTTTCCTCACCATACATCCTGCATATGCTGCGGTATGATCCCCTCCACAGTTACAACATTTTATCGGATTCTCTCCACACGCCCCATAAGCGTGTTCCCCTCCACACCTACCACATCTTTGCTTTCCATTACATACATTTGCTGTATGGCCATATCTCTGACATTTGTAACATCTAATAGGTGGTGGGATATAATTTCTTACATTGAAGCTCAAGTATCCAATCATTACCTTATCCGGTTTTACTTTATCCTTGAATTCTAATAGCACAGAAGTGCTATCCATTCTCTCCCCATTTCTAAAGGCCTGCAGTCGTTTGATACCTAAAACCTCCCCTCCTTTTATTACTTTCTTTAACTCGTCCAAGTTTTCTCCTAAAGGAATCCCTGAAATCACCCCTTTCGCTCCTCTTTCCTCTCCTATTACTTTCCTCTCCATTACTTCTCTTTTGCAGATTGTATTTTTAGTGCTTTATTCTTTTGTTCAGCATTCCTACAAATAATCAGGCTTCCATCTCTTAAAACTTTAGCTAATTCCACATCTCCAATATTTTTTTTAAATCCATTTGATAGTGTGATTGGGCTCACCCCAATCAAGTCCTGTCCAGTTCTGAATTTCAAAATCACTTTAAAGTCCTCCATCATTATTTTCTTCTTGTCTCAATGTTTTCCTCTTCATCCTCAAAAGATCTTTTGCCTGTATTTAGCCCTTTTTTACCCTTATCCTTCCCTCCTCCCCCTTTCTTACTTTCTACCAGAGACCAACCTATTTCCATACTATCTTCATCTGAACACCCTCCACTACTACTAGCCATCTAGATCCACTCACAGCCCAGATTATGGCAAGAAACCGCTCCTCCACTTCCAGCTTCCCGTGACCAAACCACGCTTCGTCAGAGTTGCTGCATGCAGGTGCTTCCAATCAGCTTCCCTCCGTGGGTTCTTCGGCTGCAACCTCTCTGCTCTTCTTCCCAGCCAGGCTCCTTTTATTTTGGCTCTAATCAGCCTCTGCTGACACCTGTCCGGGTGGCCAATTAGTGCGCCCGCCTCCCGAGACAACCACCTTCAGTCCAGAGTGTTTGGATTGTCAAAAGGGGAAAAGGAAAAAGAAAAGCAACAACCCAAAAACAATATACATGCAAAGCAAACAAAAAAAAGCAATAATAATCAACCATAAAAGAAAACAATCATTTTCCCCTGTTTAACACAAGCATGCATTTTGGATATTTGGATTTGGAACTAGGATTTGTCTCTGCCCGTTCTGCACTTGATTTGTATTCCAAACTGAGTTTCTTTGACCTGTTTCTCCCATTCCTCTATCACTGTCTTTCTTTACTCTTTTTAAGGCTTCAGCATATGAAATTCTTTCTGTAATTTTAATTCTTTGAGCTTCCCTAGCTTCCTTTTGTATTTGACAACCACCATAAGCTGCACTGTGTTCTCCACAATTACAACATTTGATTTTCGCATCTTTCTCACATTTTCCATATCCTTGTGGACCTCCACATCTGGCACATCGCTGTTAGCATTCTGATTTTTCCTTTGCAGTGTATCCCATTGTTTGACAGTTAAAACACCTGAGAGGTTTAGGGATATACTCTCTAACTTTATAGTTCATGTAACCCAGCTGGGTATTTCCTGGCACAATATTTTCAAACTGTAAAATTACTGCCATAGTGTCTTTAAGTTCCCCATCTCTTTTACTTTTAATCCTAGTGGCATCTGTTATTTTCCCTCCTTTGATTTCTTTTTTCACATCCTCCATTGACATTTCAAGCAGAACTCCTGAAATCTCTCCTCTTAGCCTTGCTAACAATCCTGGGATATGAGATCTAACTCTTTCCCCCATCAGGGTTTTAATTTTCATGATCTTCTGTTGCTGTGATTAGCATGTGTTAGCACTCTTCTGTTGTTCATGATTCTAGCCATTTTGATTTTTCCTATTTCTGTCTTTTTTTGTTTT